TTAAAAAAAAAAAAAAAAAAAAAATTGAAAGTAATGACTTAATTGTAATGGATCCAGTTCAGACACTATGTCCTCATCCACTGAGATATGGGGAAATTTTAAGCTACATCTAGGTTTTTTTCTTTTTTTTTCTTTTCGTAAAAATATAAGAAGTGCATCGTTTATAAGAGCACTACTACAGAGGTCCTGAGTTCAGGGCCTGATTTTACTGGCAGCAGCAATACCATCACCATACCTTTAATACCTGACCTTGACCTGTTTCGCTATCTGTACCACTGAGACAGTCAGCTCTGTCATAGGAGTGTTGTGAGGATTAATTAATGGTAGTAGAATTTTCAAAGATCTAAAGTGAATTTGAAGTGATCTATGAAGTAAATTATTATTAAATGAACCATAACCAACGTTGATAGCATGTCATGGGAGACTGCCTGTTCGTGCTAGTGTGGTTCCCTGTCACTAAACACCTTGTCACCCTACCTCAAATAGTATGTTCATTAACTCTAAGCCTGGGAGGGTAGGCAGAGTTTATATGTTGACCCAAGAGTAGATACACAAAAATGAAATCAGAATGCTGTGGCTTGCTTTGTCATTAATTAGTGCCAGGCGCATAACTCTTGCATTTTCACTGAGGCAGCACTTGCGGCTGTAGTTTTACTTCCTTTATTTTGGGAGTTCAGTAAAGGAGCACACACACAAGCTCTCAAAAGTAAGTGCAAGGTAATGGCTTAACTCTTTTTAAAAGCTGCAAAGGGGAGAAAAATTTACTTGTGTATTCCTTTTATCTGAATCTAATTAATCTGTGACAGTGTCAATCTTTCTAATACCATATGATGTCACTTTTTTAATCAGCACCTTAAGAAAGTTGAGTATTCTTTTGAATCTACTTACTCGATCGTATCTTTAAAAAAAGGAAAGCTATCTCTGCATAGATCACATTTGTTTGTGAGCATATTTTTAGAAAAATTAATTCAATTCAGAAATAACTTACAATGGAAAAAGCAGATGGGAAAGACTGAGCATTACTTAGAAATACAGCAGGCAGGAAGTAGTTTTACTTTCCCACCCGTAATCAACAGAAAGTTTAAATCATTATGTTCTTGCAAACCTTAGAATTCAGAAGGAAAAAATGAAATTGTTTACCAATGTTTTGTTTGCATTTTGACCATTTTTAGAGCCCTGTAATGGGCTATAAGTAAATTCCTCAAAGGAATGCTAGCACAAGAAGTTTTTGTGATTTCAAAATGTTTTACAACTTCAGTGTGATTCAAGAAACTTTTTTAGAGCAATTTTCTATGGAAACTGATTTTGTTCCGTGTTTATAGTGAAAATGCTAATGACACTTAAGTTTAAAACAGTGTTAATGTAAAATTTTCTTATGAATTTGGTATGTGTGTTGTGGTTGTCTTCTTATAACCTGTGCATTTTGGTAGTAAAGTGTAATAGACCTGTGGCTAGTGAAAGCAGTTCTCAGACTTCTGACTTTATGCCTTTTCTGTTTTGTAAATTTGATGATGATACAAAGGACAGAGCTTGTGTGTGATAGAGCAGGTTGAAGGAGCAGAGGCGAGGTGCTGTAGGTGTATGGATATTCCTTTTCCATCCACTGCCCCCCAGACAGTGGGGATACCAAAAAGCTGAGGAAGTGTGAGGGAGAGAGGGGAAGGCAAAGGAAATCTTCTGGAAGCCTCCTGTGGGAAAGGAGGGCTTCCCAGCGTAACCATTTCTCGTCACCAGCGGCGGCAGCAAAGGGAGCGGCAGCGGGAAGGCAGCCCTCTGCCATGCTGCCAGTGGTGCGCCAGGCCAGCCGCAGCCTTCCCCAGGCCCCTTGGCAGCGAGCAGGGGTCTTACCTTCCTCTGCCCACCTCTAGTGGGGTGATCAGTGCCTGGGTATGGCCTGTGCCTCTGGTAACCACCCCTGAGGCCTCTTCTGCTGGTACGTGCAAGTCCAGCACCTACAAGCCCATGGATAGGTGTGTAGGACCATGCAGTAGGACAGGCACAAGGGGTGTATGAGGGTCCGTGGGGAGATGCTGTAGGGGCTTGATACCCTTCTCGCCCTTTTTCCCTTGTGTGCACTTGCTATTCTCCCACGTTTGCTTCCCAGATAATGTTCTGTGATACCCCATCCCCACTCTCGATGGCCCTTTTTGTGTGAGAATTGCTGTGTGATGCAGGAACCCTGTTCGATCTGAGTTACTCGGTAAGGAAGTAGTTTCTGCCTCTCGGCTGCAGAATACCTGGGTCTCACCCGTGTTTAAATACCTTCCAAGTTCTTGTTCTTTCAACTGTGAACATATTTAGCTTGTGCAGCTGAGCCAAAATGAAGAGAAAACTCCTTTTGGAATTGTTAATTCACCTGGAGCTCATGCATACCTGTGGGAAGGGGAGAAGGGAGGAGAATTAATGAATTAAAAACAAAATTATGGAGGAGGAGGAAGTTTTTCCCAGAGTTCAGTCTTTGATACAGTCACCAGTCCCTCTAGCACATGTTGTGTTTATATTTTATGACTATTTATGTACTGTAGTTTCTTTTCTCACACTGTATGTATTCAAAGTCCCAGAGACTTGGGTTGTAGTTTGTGGATGGATAAACAGGAGTAGGAATAAGGCATTAGAATGGAGAAAAGCTAGTGGTTTTTTAGACAGTTAGCTTGAAGGGTAGGGAAGCTGCATCAAGAGGTTTAAGATTAATGATTTGGCATGACTTCAGTTCTTCTTTATGGAATTAAGCTTTTTGCGTAAATCAGACTTGAGAGGTGATCTTTGTGCTGGCCGTAAAACAGGTTCAATTGTCCCTTCTCCTTTCCCCCACTGTCATACTGTTTGTTAATAAAAACTTGTCCTGTTTTGTTATTTATATATTATTTTGCTTTTTTTAACATATTTGATACAATTGTACTCCAGTCATGGGCACCGAAATGACAGGTAAATGTTACCTCCTCAAAAATCCAAACACAGCTCCCATAGTTGTTTTTTGGTTTGTCACTTTGAATGTTCAAGTTCCATTTTATCTGTGTGTAGCTCACCTCAAGTGGTGAAGAACAGAAATTTGTTGTGGTTATGATTTTTTATTATTATTATTTTGAGTGAGCATGATTTTTGCTGCAAAATGTTTTTTCCTGAGTTATATAACATTTAACAAGTTTATTTTGACCTAATCATTCTTTGTAGTTACTTGACATTAGCCTGCTAGTTTGCTGGTATCCTGTACTGATATCACTTAAGAAAGCCCTACCCTTGTATTGCAAGCAGACTGTGGTGGTTATTCTGTGGTTCAGAGAATTGTAGTTTGCATTTGTTCACAAGTTTTTAATTTGCTTCTCATTAATTTTCATCTGATGGACCTGAGAGTTGTGAAGACTCCCGGTGGTCCATTTCTATGTGTATTAGTAAGACACCAATTCTGTGGAGCTATTCATTCACTTTCTGATTGTTTCATCTCACAGATTAGCTAGAAAAAGACAACTAAAAAAAAATCTGTAAGCTTAAGTGATCCTTACTGAATGCTTGTTTATTGTGGTCCCCTGTGAAAGTTTACTCTTTATTAAAAACCCTTTTTGTGTCATGCTTTTGGAATGCAGTTTTACACAGTAATACTTCCACAGATGTTTCTGTATTAGGACAGCGCAGTATTCATTTGACTAACCTTGGTTTCTCAACAGGACTGATGGTCGCCGCTGGTCTTTGGCTTCTCTCCCTTCTTCTGGCTATGGTACAAATACACCCAGCTCAACTGTTTCTGTAAGTATCCATTTTGCTGTGCTGATAGATTTCTATAACACGCTGTATCTTCTCAAACGTAGCTGGTTTCTCTTAGGAGAAGGCAATGTAGGTTTTGTTACTGTTGATAGACTTTGAATTAATATGTGGTACAAAACTGGTTTACTTCACTGAAATGGAATAAAGCTTTAGGCAATGTGTGATTTGCGTAGAGATATTTTCTGGCAGTGAGTAGTGTTTAACTGCCCCCTTTTGATCTGTGAGGCAGTAGGCATGGGGAGACATACTGCCTTATTTTAACCATAGGGTAGTTAGGTATCAAGTCTTAGGTGAGGCTGCCTTCATAACCAAAAGAAAGAGAAATGACTCCATGACGTGATTCATCCATTCTAGGTTAGAATGCTATCTTATGCATTTGCCTGTCTTTTTTCTTTGACAATAGTGAGGTGTTAGTGCATGATAATAGGTTAGATATTTAGCATGTTAGATGGCTATAATTAGAACAGAAGAATCCTTTGGGATACATAACATAATAAATATAAGTCTAATTTGTTAATTTTTTGCCTGTTAGAGCAATCTTTTTGATGTGATCTTGTATCAGCCCCCCTGCCGTGCATGTACCATCTGACTCATGCCATGAACCATGGCAGTGCATGAGATCCTGCTTCAATACTTAGGAGCTAAGCAGTGGGAGAAGTATGAAATGGTACTTTTGCACATCTTGCACACCTCTATACTGGAGAGGAAGTACTGGGTCATGTTACAATCTGGAACTAAGCTGTCTGTTGTAACAGTCACACCTAAGAGACTGGGGAGATAGAGCTGTGGAGGAAGCCTGCTTTGGAAATAGCAAATAGTTGGCATTTTGACAGTTACATTACATCTTCTGCAGTAAAGGACCTGGTCCTTTTAGATTGAAACTATGACTGTTCAAAAATCGTTTTATGTCTTCAGCCTTGTTTTTTACCTTTAAGGTTGATTGATGAACAAAAATACTGTTTTATGAATGATACATATTACTGGACACCTGACACCTATTTTTAAAAAAATGTTTCTTTTACAATTTAAGTAAGCTTTCTCTTCCCCTGGGTGTGTTCTGTTTCTCTTGTGAAATAGTTGAGTTCCACATCCTGTACACTGATGATACGTGACCGTTTTATGTTATGATTAACTCTTACTTTATTTTTGTCCACAAAGGAGTCTGGAAGGTCAAGTCAATTCTTGCTGACTTCAGACCAGGTTGAGGGATTGCATATATCTTAAGAACTGTTCCTCAGCAGCACTGATTTTTTGACCTCTGCTTTCCTTCCTGTGTAGATCTTACTTTTGCCAAGCAAATTGCTTGGTTTCACATTAATTCCCTAACCACTTTCCATAATTCATGTTTGTACACCTCTCATTGGAACTAGATCAAATATGCTATGCTTTTCACTTAAAATATATTGATTTAAAGGGGATTATGTCAGATAATAAGTAATTGCCATAGCAACCCCATCATTGTTATAAGAAACAAGTTTGTGCTAGAAAGGAAATGAAAAGCGGTGTCAGAAACATCAACACACAGTTTTAATTTTTAGTTCATACTCATATGCTTTTTCTCTGACATCTTCAATTTTAAAAGGGTAATTCTGGTTCATACACTTCTTTCCCACTTAAGTTTACTAAATACTGTATACATGCTGGAATGTGGAGCAGTTTTACATCATTTTTGCACTTCTTATAAAAAAATATAGCACTGTCATTTACAGATTTAGATTTCTTAACTTCCATAATAGACTGTTGTTGAGTTCTCCCTTGATATTTCCTGGATAGACTACATTGTATAAGTATTAAAATGTCTTCCCTAGCATTGAAAAAACAGTTTCTGACTTGTGGAAAGAAACCTGTTTTTCCAATAAATAAATTTGAATTTTGTTGAAGAAACCAGCAGTAGAGAATCCCCTATTGCTCACGAGTCCCTGCTGCAAAAACACTGGGACAACCTCTGAATTTTAAATCTATCCACTCTTTCTTTGCTTCTTAGTAGAGATGCTTTTCACTTTCTTGTTTTACCCACTGCGTGATATATGTGAATCAGAAAATGAAAACTGGAAGTGTGCCCATCTAATTGGTTTCATGTACTTTTTCAGAATCTGAAACAGCTAGCACTGTGCAACCCTCTCCTCCACATTCTTAGAAATTCTTAGAGGCAACAAGAGACCACTTCACACAGAATAGCCTAAATGTACATACAGAATGCTCCCTTTTCAGTGCTGGATAAATAAGATTCACATTAATCCAGAGATGTATCAACTGGAGACCAGAAAGAGTTTTTGCACGTCACAATAGATTTTGTGACAACTTTGAGCTTTACAAGCAAGTGAAAGCCAGAGCAGGGGCAGAAGGGTCTGTGGTAATCACAGTTACGCTCTGGTGAGTGTAGCTAACCATTTGTTGTTAGCCTGTTTTTTTTTTAATAAGTGAAGAGATTGATGGAATTACAAATTTAATGGAAGCTCATGGGTTTGTAAGTGGTGCAAATACTGCGTATACCAGTTCTCACAACAAATTTTAAATTAAATGAAAATATCTCCTGCTAAGATTATTTGATTGAAAAGAAACTCTTGTTGTGTCATGTTCTAGCAAAGTTTGATCAGATCTTGCCAGTTATGAGATGCAGTTGAGAGTGTCTTCTAGAAGCCTATCTTTTTATAGAGCAAGCCTATAAAAATGATTAAGTGAGAGAATACTCAGTTGCATATTTTTGCCAGTAGGTCATATTCTTGGAAGCTTATTTGGATGGGGAAATAGAGTAAGGAGATGAGGAAAGAGACTTTGTGGTTACATTAGCTGGTACTGGCTGCAAATTTGCCTTTCTGTGTTGGAAGAACAATTTGCGTTGCCGTGATGCACTGTGGTCGTGCATATTAAAAATATGTTAAATCTTGTGTGATTTTTGGAGCAGCTATTCGAGAATGCCAGGAGTGCTAATTTTTTTAAGAGTTTTGGAATGAGAATTTGGATTTGTACAGAGATCAGAATTCAGACCTCCAAGAAAATGCACTTGGTGCCTCTGGTCCTGATACAACTGAGTTGTTAACGAAAGGAAGACTCTCACTTTAATCCTGTTGGATCTAGACTCTGTGACACCGTGTATAAGGAAAAGTGTGATACGGGTTATTGTCCTGATCTTCCCAGAATCCCCTGAAGCTGAAGAGGTAGAGATTGATTTTATAGAAGTAGCCATCTGTGATGGTCTGTATTGGGAAATTTTCCTGTGCTAGAGTATCTTCTATCTTATGTAGGGAAAACGCCTTGAGGTTAACTGTGGCTAGCTGCTGTAGTGTGAGATAAGAAGGAACTTGTCTCTACTGTGTGCTGAATTATGCATGGTAATGTGCTAAGGCTGAATTCTGTAAATGAGTTACTGTGACTCGACAAGTTACTACGTATCATGTGAACTGTGGTAAATTCTTGGTGTACATGCTTCTTAGCCTGCATCAAAGCAAGGTAATGCAATCTTGCTAGCTTTAACTTGTCTTGATGTGATGCAGCCTTCCCACATAGCCCAGTCCTGTATGAGTTAACCTTTCCTAGCAGTGGATTTTCTTCTTTTTTTGCTTTTAAGAAATACTTCATACTAGTGTGATAAGTAATCTTTTCTTGAGTTCCTAGGAATTAGGATATATTCAGCCTTTACCACACAAGTTACCAGGAAATTATGAAGACTGTAGTTTCTGTGCTTACCAGCCTGGATATTACCTGCTGACCTTAGCAATGTGGGGCAATGTTTGTACTGTCCGAAAGTTCATTGATTTCCCTCACTGAGGATGATATAGCAAAGAAGTTTTTACTGTGTTCGCCTTCAATAAAAGAGCATCCAGGCAGGGGCCTTGGTGTCCTATATGAGAAGACAGGTAAGAACAATAATGCACACATGAAGGCTGACATACAGAAGAAACTAATTTTCTTGAAAAAGCCAGCTGGACACTGAATTGCTCCAGAGAAGATGTACAAATTTTTGGACTTCTTCTCTGAAGGTAAAATAAAGGGAACATCTGCATGCTACCAAGCAGCTTTGTGCAGTCATACAAGGGTATTTGTGAACAAGCTATTTTGGAAACCAGTTTTGGTACCAGAAACAGTAGAGCATTTCTCTGTCTACACCTGTCAGTCCAGATTAGCAAGACTGGTTGTCAATGCATTGAACTAGTACATGTTGTAAGGACATCAAATCCAGGGAAGCAGTTTTAAAGTTCTACCTCCAAAAATTTACTGTGTCTTAGGTAGATAACTGTGCTGCATAAAAGACAGTAAAATATGATAGTATGATCATCTGCACTGCTTTATGTAGTGTGGCTTTATACATGCAATTTCGCAAGGCTGGTTGTTGTGGTAGCACTTCCAATTCCGTACTTGCCTGTCTCTTCCAGTTTTGTGCTAAGTGGATGGTTTGAATGTAATTCCTTTCACTTTTGTCATCCATAGAACCTGTCTTGATAAATGTATTAAGTTCTTTCACTTCATTTTGAATGTACAGGGTTTTATAAGACAATAGCATATAAGTTTTTTCAGCAAGAATTCAGATTATATTTAATTTTTTTAAAAGCATTAACACTGTCTTAAATATGAATAATGAAGTAACTTCATTATGTAGATACACAATTTGTGTTGTGGCAGTAAGTCGTACTCTACATACTACACTGTCCTACTCCATTTTCAGCAGACCTCGTTTTAACTATTCTTATGTATTGGTGTGTGTTACTGACATTAGAGGTCATCTTTGCCTTAGAGGAAATTTGAACTTTTGAAACGCAATGGCTCCTTCTTCTGGGACTGAAGTAGTTTTGTTATACTAACTCTATATTCAGCTTGTTAAATTGAGACTGATTACTTATTTTCTTCTTTAAAATGGTAGTCAGGCATGGGAAACAGTAACTATAATTTTTGAATTAAATGGCTTTATTCATGAGCACTGAATGTGGTCTTGAAAATGATTTTTCGCTCTGGTAAAAGCTTGTGTTCTGTTCTGCTTTTGTAGTCATCCTGCTCATCTCAAGAGAAGCTACACCAGTTACCGTACCAGCCAACACCTGATGAGCTACATTTTTTGTCTAAACATTTCTGTACCACTGAGAGCATTGCCAGTGATAACAGGTGCAGGACCACTGCAATGCGCCCTCGGTCCCGAAGTCTCAGGTGAGTTTGTCTATCTGGAAATAGGAATTGAATCTAAATTCACATATTCTGGAGCATCATGGTTTTGCACATTGGGGGCATTCACTATTTTTGATATTGCTGAACTATAATACAACAAGTACACATCTAAGGCTGAATTACAAATAGTTCTTTTAAATTCTTGCTCCTGGTTTTGATCATGGCTTACTTCAGTGGTTAATATTGTAAGCTAGGTCTTAATGAAAGCAACTAACCCACATGAACTGTCTTGATGAACTAGTCATTATTGATCTGACTGTAGCACTCATTCTCTTCTAGAGTTCAAAGTGTTCACTGTCTTTATTTGCAAAACTAACTCAAAATGTACTTCTATCCTAGGACTATCTAGAAAGAAACGTGATAAAGAACAAATGGGTGGGAGGTGGGGTACGCTCTCATTTATTTTGTTTAACCAAGATGAATGACAGTTTCATGTTTCCCAAAGACTAGGCCTTTACATTTCATTTGCAGTGGCCGTTTGTGTAAGATCTGTTTTATCCAAGATCAGTTCTAAGCTGTCAGAATAGTTTAGGTTTGGAAAATGCAGGTGAATTTTATGGATAAGTTTTCAAGAAATAGAAAGGGAAAAAAAAGAAAGTGTTATATTTCTAATTGTTGTATTGATCCTTTCAAAAGTTTAAAAATAGTTTCACAGGCATACAAATCTTAAGGATTGAGTTTTTTATGGAAAAAAACAAGAGCAAAGCATTTTAAGAAAGGGGATTATGCTGCAGAAGTGTTATGATCATATTATGTACCTACACTGTCTTCAGTGGATTTGCGTGTGGATGTCCGTAACAGACTGTCCGTATCAGTTAAAGAACCCACCATTGTGGTATCTTGGGAAAAATTTTAGTGTTCATTTTGCCCTTTTAGAAAGCCAAAAGCCAGTTTTTATGCTAGAAGAAAGAAAGAATGCAAGAAACTCTTATGTACATGTTATGATAGTCATTCCTAGAGGGTAGCATCCCCTCTGTGGGGTCTTTTTCCCACTACGCATCTTTTAGACCAGACTGAATGGGCCAGTGTCACCAAGCCAGGAAAATCAGATAGTGATTTTTCAAAGGAATTTATAATGGAAGATGAGGCTTATGATAGCAAAAAGCAGTTTTGTAGGGTAGCCAAGGCCCTGAGTACCTTTTATGGATTGTTTTCCTGCAAATCTTGTGCTTTTCTTACAGGCACAGTGCCCCAGTATTGATGGAACTCATACAAATGTATGGCATTATTTGTAGGACGTTGCTGCCTTTACCTGCTGGCCGGATTGAAAGTAGATTGTTTTGTATTTTTTTAATGATCTCTTTAAAAAAGACTAAATATTCTCAACATTTTCACTTACAGCTAACAGAGTTCTTGGTGAGGTCTTGCTGTTTTGATTGTATGTAACCTTCAAAGTGGCAGGTATAGCCATAAGAAACGGTTAAGTGTGTCTCTGTTGCCCTTCTGAGAAAAAGGTGATGTTCACAAGTGTTGCAAAACTGCCTGCACCCTTAAGTGTAGTTACAAACTAAGAAAATAACATAGTTAGCAGTTAGATGTCAAGCGCGTGAACTAATCTTTAGGGCCTGGTCAGAAATAGCAGAAAAGAACCAAGTGTATCACTGATGAGAGAGTGTACCTTTCCAGTGAAGCCTACATTGACTTTTAGTTGCAACTAAAATAGAAAATAGAATTACTAATTGTAGTTCATGCTGAGACAAGTTTAAAGGGATAATTTGCTTTGCTTGCAGCCCTGGTCGTTCTCCTGCCTGCTGTGACAATGAAATAATTATGATGAACCATGTCTACAAAGAAAGGTTCCCAAAGGTAATGAATTATATTTAAGATACCCAGTATCTAAATTGATATGCTACACAGTTTTTAAGTAAGTGGTGTTTTTGTTATGGGAACTAACGATCCACCCCTGTAATAGCTTTCATAAAGCATCACCCAGTTCTTATTACAAAGATAAAATCACAATAAAGTAAATCCCTGCTGAGAACTGGACATTCATTTGGCAAAGCTGCTGAACTGGTTTTGAAGTGAATCATGCTGGTAATATATTCTGCTGATTGGAAACCAACAGTACATTCGATTTCAACAGGTGGTGTGTACTTGGGGCAAATATATAGTGAATTAGTAAACAAAAAATAGTTTCTGTTGCGAAGTCTTGTGCAGCATATGCATCTCTGCAGATGCCTTCCTTTAGTGGCATTTATTCCTTTTCCAAAACACTTATTATATGCTTTTAATTGTGAAGGTCAGTACACTGTTGTGGGGGTTTGACTATGAGATACCAAATGAGGACATATACTGCTGTCATGTCCTGAGGTCTGAGACACAAGTGAGTTCCTAGGTGCCGGTCTGTAGCTCAGAGCACTGCGCTCTCAGGTGCTCCTAGGATTTCGATGACCCCTGGAAAATAAAGTAAAGTAAAGCTGATACTATTCTGAAAAATGCCTAAACAATAGAAGAAATTTCTTCATATTTCTTCATGGAAATATGAAGAGAGATTTGCCAGGATTTGCAGAGCGATTGAGCAGCAATCTGAAGTGTGGAACATCCCGTTCATTTCAGTGTGTGAGATATGAATGAAGAGGTGTGGGATTACTTTTTAATAATAAAAATACAAGTTTTTTTTTAAGCATCTGCGGTTTTGTGAGAAACAGACAGTCGATTTTGTAAAACAGACACATTTATGGGGAGATGTCATCTGTCACTTTGCCTTTCTGTTCGCTTACTTTTTTGTTTCAGTCATTTCCCGCATCCCAGCTGGGTAACTTCTTAGGCAGTACAGAAATGTCGCACGATCAGAAACAAGGTTTGAGGCTGTTAGTTTCATGTAAAGCTGAGTTAATGTATTGTGTATCTGTTCGTCTATAGGCCACAGCTCAGATGGAAGAAAGGCTTCGGGACATTATAAGAAATCATTCTCCAGAGAACGTCCTTCCCTTGGCAGATGGAGTGCTCAGTTTTACCCACCATCAGATCACAGAACTAGCTCGAGATTGTTTGGATAAATCCCACCAGGGCCTCATCACATCACGATACTTCCTTGAATTACAGCAGAAATTAGACAAATTGCTGCAGGAGGTATGGGCCATGAGACTACTGTTATGTTTGCTTGAAAAATTGTTTAAATCTCTCTCTAAGAGGAGTTGTCTTGAAATAGTCATGACTGTTCACTCAAATAATTGTCAAAGTGGTATTCATAGCAGTTTTAGTCTATATAATGACCACTGCAAAGGCGATAAGCCATCCTAGAGTACTAGTCTGGAATAGATGGGTTGTAAAAATTTCAGAAACAGCAGCATTTTGTCATGCAGTGCAAGTTATAAACTGCTTACAAAAGTGTGTGCATAAGCTCTAAATGAGGAGGCTTGCAATTCTGTTTACTGTGAATAAATGAGTAGACATACACTTTCCACTTTATCAACCCTACTAATTGCCTGCTGTGTTGAGAAAGCAGACAGCAACCTTTAGCTTTCAATTAGCTAGAGGTTATTTAATTATTTAAATATTTATAATATTCCTTTCATAATTAAACTGTTTATTAACAGAAATAACGTAATTTCTAAAAGTGTTGAAACTTCCATTGAATAATCAGCTAAATGAATTAAGGAGAACTTGGAACTTGACAAAATAAATGTGCTATGACACAAGTCATTGCAGTTTATGTATGTATAATTTTTAAAACAATGAGTACAGCAAGTAATGTACTCATTTGTTTGTGTGGGATTTGATAGCACATTATGAACCAAAGTTAATGTGATAGACGAGCAAATTTGATATTTGCTTGGAATTTTGAACTGAGATGTTAAGACACCATGCCTGTCTTAATTTATGTCTTTCCGTCTGCTTTCTTTTGGATGCAGGAGCAGTTGCTAACGGTTTTGGTTGATATTTTTTTTTCCCTATGCTGCTTTTTTGTTAACTTCTATTCAGTAAATAGTTTTTCTGCAACTACTGTATTTTGAATTTTTTATCTTCATAAAGCAATGCAAAACTTAAGACTATCAGTGATTTATTTCTGGATTATTGAAACTCTGTTTTTTAAACAGAGAAAATACATAGAGCTTGCTTAATAGTCAAAAAGGAAGTTTGAACTAGTGAACTTCTTGTGAAATACTCATATTTTTATGATGCCAAAGTGCAGGCAGAGTTGGCCAGTTGACTGCAGATATCTGACAATGAATTATGTTATGCTAGTGATAATGTCAAAATACACGGAAATTATTTCTAAACCAAGATTCGCTGAACCACTGTTAACACTGTTAATCACTGTTAACAATATCTCTCTTAAAATGGCTACACAGTAAGTAGAGTTTAGAGTACACATCCACTCATTCATTAACCTCCCCGCAAAAGCCACTAAAAAACCCACTCTAGCAAGTTTTTTTCCAATCTGCATATAAAGCGGTGCATTATTTAAAAGCCACCAAAACACTCATTTTGTTATGGTGCTCATTCTTTAGTATGTAAAAATTTCCTTTTTTTTTTTTTTTTTTTTTTTTTTTTTTTTAAGTAAAAAGGATAATAAAATAATTTTTATTTATATAATCCTTTTTATTTATTAAAAAAATCCTTTAGGTAAAAAGGATAATACTTAAAAATATAATTTTTAATATCCTTTTAAAAGGATAATCCTTTCAAAAATATAATACCTTGAAATATTCAGACATAACTTTTGAGTCAGCTGTTCAAGTGCATAATACCTGTTAATAGCATAATATGGCAGTAATAAAACTTTCTTTTTGCACAACTCGGTTATGGGCACTCAGTTGTGCTTTGGATTCATTTGTTGTCAATTCCCAGCTGCAACGTTCAGTAGAAAGCTGCATCTCTTACCACTACTTGGCATGTTGTGTTTACTTTGCATAACCAGGGAAAGACTCTTGAGATTTGGGCAGCTTCGTTCAACCCACATTTTTATAATCCTAAGGTCACATGGACCTGAATGCTTTCCTGCTTCATCCTTCTTAAATGTGGTATGTTTTGAGTCTTTTGTTCACATACACTCCTGAGTGTTCACAAAACAGGACAATAGTGCTTTAAGTTTTGCTGGTGATTAAAATAGGCAGGTGTTTTGTTTACAAAAAGAGTTTTCTTTGGACTTGGTTGGTAGTGTGCAGAACACAAATGCTTGTGTACAGTTAAGATTCTTCCAAAACCTACTGCAGAGTGCTAGATAATACTTGTGCCTTTTCCTTTTTTCCTTCTTTAAAATTCACAGATTAATAGTTCTCAGGTATTTGGTGTTTCTTAAAATTGTAGTGCTTATATTAAAAGCAATATGTAGCTTCATATTTTCATAGTTTTTTACTTCAAAAATAATATATATTATGTGCAAAGTATTTATTTGTCCATATTAATGACTTTTTAAATGTTACTTTCTTAATCCTCTTTGTGGTTTTGCATAAGCAAGAGATGATGAAAAACTTAAGTCTACAGTTTCAGCTATTTAGTACAAAGAAATGCTTTGATATTTGAGTGAAGGGCTAGTAGTATATTTTAATCAGGAGAATGATACGGTTTCTTTGCATTTATTAGCATCCTTTAATTATATAATTTGTTCTTAGAGGGGAACATTTGAAAGAAATTTGAAATGCAGTTGATACCATTGTGCAAATGTTACCAAACCTTCTAGAAGTATTTTTTTTGTATGTATTCTTTTGTAGCATTCCGCGCCCCCCACATTGTAATCTTTGTAGAACTCAATTTTTCATCATCTTCCTTTATACATGTATCTTTATATGGACCCTCTCTGCAAGTGTAGTTTTTATATATATATACACACACATACATATATGTCACAGACATTTTAATATGACATGTGACCATAGGAAATCAGTATCAGTTTGGCATGGATGTTGCTTATGTTTATTAATATTACTTAGGTCAGTTTTAATTTAATCCTAAAATTATTAACTAATTAAGACACAACTGTACATGTACAGAGATGTATGTTATATTGAAAGGTGGTCCCTTGCACAAAACTGATGGTAATTATACTGTGTAATTTAAAACAAAAAGGTATGACGTCCATTGTAGGCACTTCTATTTTGTTGTTACTGTTTTAGAATTGTACAAATGGGATTACTTCAACTTGAAATTACATTATTGCTCGAACAATAATTACAGCCTTGTTATTTCTGCTGGTATTGAAATTGACGTGCTGTTTGTCTCACATACATGCTTCAAACCCTCAAAAGTTTCCTACTTTCCAGAGCAGTGCGTTGGATACAGTTTATTATCACTTTATTTTTATCTTACAGGCTCAAGAGCGGTCAGAGAGTGGAGAAATGGCATTTATTAAGCAACTTGTCCGAAAAATCCTGATAGTTATCGCTCGTCCTGCCCGCTTACTGGAATGCCTGGTAAGGTTGTGCTTTCTGTAAGTAGGTTTTTCACTTGTTAGTCTAGGAAGGTTTTTGGCTTAATATTCAAGGCCCTTTACAATTGTTTTTTGAAAAATGTCAAACAATGGGGTAGAGCTTCATTGTTGGTACAGTCCTTTCTGCTTTTGTTTTAGGAACATGGGATTGGCAGGAACCTCCTGCAGTTGTGTTGGTTCACTGCAATTGCAAATACCATGTTACAAAATCCCTTTCATCAACTGAGGAAGCTACAGTTTGAAACCATTTGAATTTTTCTGTTTTGTTAGACTTTGCTATTCCTTGGGAAGACTGTTCCAGAATCATAATTGCTTGGTGGTTTTCCCATTGCTGTTGTTCTTCTTACAAGTTTCATAATTTTACTTCACTCAACAGCTGCCAGAGCTATAAGCAGCTTGCATAGTTTCAGAATAGCAACTGCAGGGAAAGCCAGCACAGCTCTCTTAGAGATTTCTTATTTCAGATGGGATCTTTAGGAGATTTAAGCTGGAATGTAACAACTCTGCGTAGTATGTTTCTACAGAGCCAGGTAGCTTGACCAAGTTCAGGCATACTGTCACTGAGCTTGCAGTCAGCTCTGCAGTACCTGACCTGAGGGGAACAGCAGCAGAGGGATTAGGGTATCTCTATATACAGATAGTCGGAGTTATACTGGGGACTAGAAGAAGCAGAAGAGTTAACTTACTTATGCATGAGCATAGCACTGATGTTGCCAGACTGGGCTAGCTTGTGTAAGGCCACGTGGGCATGTTTCTGCTTTGCCTACCCATACTGTGAGAGCTGAAATGGCTCAGGTGTGGGAAGCTGCTCCTACACACAGAGCCAATGTGCTTCAGTTGTTCAGTGGAACTAATAAACCCTCGCAGAACAAAGTGTACTCAGGAGGACGATGTAGACACCCAAATACCATGTAAGAGCCAGCCGAGTCCAACAGTCCTGGCAGGCAGCCCGAGCTGACTTTGTTAAGCCACTCTGCTTGCCAATACCAGGATCACAGTGTTGATGCTGCATACAGCTATTTGAGGCTGGCAAGGCTTATGTGGGAGCCGCTAACCTGCTGCTAGACTCACGTTATGCCTGAAAGTGTCATAACTGTATTTGTATGGCACTGAATCTGAGCTAGTAAGTCTTTCCAGCCTGATTTTGGCTCTGTGCTGTGTCTCTTCATCTGTGGCACAGTTAATCCACAGCCTGACTCATTCAGCCATGGACATTTTGAGAGCGGCCTCTGTTTTGTTTTGGAAACACCATGTCTCAGTGTTCCCAGTTGCAGTTTGTTCATGATTTGCAGTTCAGAAGGAATCTAAAATAAGGTATGTGCTCTGAATCAGCATGAAAGAGATGTTAAAAAGAAGCTTCAGAGGATGCCTTAGCATGTCCATCTGACATTGAATCCAAACTTGCTTTACTCCTGCACCTGAAGTGCTCATTCCATATTTGACCACTAGTTTATTCTCCCTAAATGCTAAGTTTTATGGCTAGCTAGTCCAAATCTTCATTCACTTAGTTCGCAGTTTCTGCCCCTGGGATTTTATCCTAGGTTACTTGTTCTTTCTGCCTTATGACACTTCCAGCAGAGCTGTTGTACATCCTGTATCCCTCCTTTTGCTGGGCCTGCTGGTGCGAGTGGAAGGAGAGTGGTGTGAGGCCAGGAGATTAGTTGCGAGTTCCAGAGCAGCAACTGCAGAGGAAGCCAGCGCAGCTCTCTTAGAGTTTTCTTATTTCAGATGGGATCTTTAGGAGATTTTAAGCTGTAATGTAACAACTCTGTGCAGTATGTTTCTACAGAGGCAGGTAACTTGAACAAATCTAGGCATACTGTCACAAAACAATACGTTTCTCTTTTAAGAAGGTGTTAAGCCTGCTCCATAAACATCACTGGAATCATGTAATCTTACAGAAACAGTATTGTTTTTCCATATTATCCCTCTGGAAACTTACTAATAATATTGTCTGGTACTTTAAAATGTCATCTGAAATAGATACTGGGTATCGAAAACTTCAGCCTCTGTAAGAAAGTTCATAGCGTTGTAGGAAATAAATCCAGTACTTTTGTCATGAGAAGTTTCAGATACCATGCAGTAATACTGTCAGTTTTCTGATGGTGATTTTGGCTCAGGTGTTCATGGTATGAGAATTCATATTTTTATTCACTTGATAATCCTGTGAATAAAGCTTTTGCAGTTTCATACATGCCAAGAGCTACTGACTAATATTGAAAGATTTTTCTCCATTTGTACGTGGAAAATGAAACACAGAGTTGGAAGCAGAGATGAGAAAATAAATTTGTTGCTTCTACTTATTCATGTGTGTGTATGTATATAATGTGTGTGTATGTATATTTAGATAGATACATATGCACACACACATATTCATGTGATTAAAAGTACCTGCTTTGAGATTACCTGGACTTACTAGCAAGTGGAGAAGAAGCTGTCTATTTGCCACCACAGCAGGTAAGGAGATGATGATGTTTTCATGATGGACACAGATAGGAGGTCTTGGCACACATCATCATGTTGTTGTGTTCTTCAGTGCCAAGAAGTAACATGTAAGAGATACAGCTGGGGACAGCAAGTCAGATGAGGAGAGTAAGGCTAAACCAGCATGTAATGCTTAGTTACTCTATTCAGTTTTTAGGCAGTTTATCAGCATCTTGAGACTTTGAGCTGAGTAAGAGAGTTTGCACAGTTCATGGATTAGTGGTGAATCGTTTGGAGATGATGAAATTGTTTCATGACAAATGAAGAACTGAGGTTGTTTCCACAAGACTGAAAATTCAAAAGACATTTCATTTCAGATGTACTGCAACTCCTTCTGGTAGATGCAGCAGTTTGGATGCTTCCAAAATGAGGCATGATATCTAATTTCTCAAGCTGTCTTCCAGGTTGGGACATTGAGTTCCCAAGTCCTGGGTAGCCTGAGGAGCTAGGACAGGAGCCTTGTGACCCAGCACGCAGACTGAGGCCCCGTGGAGTCATGGCAGGCCACAAAATGATCCGAGCTAGTTAGCAGGCAAGCTAGCTGGCTCAGCAGCCTGCCTGGCTTCCACAGATACTTTTGACAAAATTGATTTACCCCAGAAAAAAGTCTGTTTTGTGATATAAGTGTTTCATGACTCAGACTGGCTCTCACTCTATTAAGCATTGTACCTGTTGTGATCTATGGTTGGCATGAACATCTCACATGGCTATGTGAGAGATGTTTTGGTATGAATCCATACCTGCTAGATAGATCAAGTCTATTTTAAAAAAAAGCTAAAACTTTTAATAAACTTCCGTGTTCCTCTGAGTTCTTTCCTACTTTTATCCTCTATAAAGGTAGTAAAATAAATATATTTCCAAGGGACTTGGGGATTAGACAGGGTTTTGAGTTTCTATTTTTTTGTTTCTCTCTGAGGCTTGCCTTTTAGGCATGGTATAAATGATAGTTTTGTAATATAGTTGGTTCCCAAAGGAGGATGTTTCATGTCTAGATTTGTAACAATTGGATCAATGAAGTTCAAATGTTGTTTTCAGCAACTTACAATTTTGGCTTCTTTCTAAAGTTAGTGATTTATTTAATTGTTTTTTTCCATAAAACATAGTGCATATATATTGATTAAAAATACTTTAAAATTACATTTAGAAGTGGAGGCAATATATTTACATAGTTTCCTTATTTCAGTAGCAGATTTTTATACGCAAGTGGCTGCAGGGAGATAATCTCTATGTGAACTCACTGCTTTATTTTTTTATTTATTTTTTATTATCACTGCTGGTTATTAGGTCATTTCACTCTGAATATTATGGGAAGTTTTGAGGGCAAAGAACTTGCTATTCTTATAAAGTAGTCCTCTGAAATAATGGTGTGAATTTTCGTTGCTTACAGCATGTTACATTGTAAAGCATCGTAATAGAGTAGTATACTACTAGTAATAGAATAAAGAGGTATTGTTTTTAATAAGGGAAATGTCAAATCTTTGCAACAGAAGAAGCAAAATAAGTTTTTATATTGAGGTTTAAGACTTCAATTTCAACAGAGAGAATGATGGTGATTATTTTTCTTCTAGGAATTTGATCCTGAAGAATTTTACTATCTTTTGGAAGCAGCTGAAGGCCATGCTAAAGAGGGGCAAGGCATTAAAACAGACATCCCTCGATATATTATTAGTCAGCTGGGCTTAAATAAAGATCCTCTGGAAGGTAAGTGCATCTCCTGGTACATCTATAGGCTCTTACATTATTCCTTCTCGACATTTTTAGTCAATTCTGATAATCTGTGCGTACGTGAAAAGGGTCAAAGTAAAGATGGTAGCAGAACAAACATTCGCTAACCCTCACAACTCTCACAAGCTCAAAGACATTAAAAAGACCATCTGAGATTTTTTATTGTGAATATAATTCACAGATACACTGTGTTAATGATTTTCATGATCTTCTTCCAGCCTGGCAATGCAACTTCCTTATTTCAGCTGTAGCTGAAATTTACTGGTATAGTTTGATGGAGACTGTTATCCAACCAAAGGTACAAATGAAATTGAGCTGAGCTGTTATTGACCCTTCAGTGTCCCCAGGCTCCTGTATCTTAGAGTTCCTGAGAAGAGTATCTCCCATCCCTATTAAAATGGGAAGGATTTATTTTGCTGGGTGATTTATATGTTCATGTTGAGGACTTCTGTAGTGAGAACTTGGATTCCAGTGGAGGTGTTGTCATTGCAGAATTTTTGTTTGCCTGATTTTTCTTTTTAAGGGCAGTGTTGGGAAAACTAAAATTAATTTTGTCTCCTAACCAGACCATCTTCTCTTCCATCCTGAGATCAGGTTCTATCTGGTGACAAATGGAAATTGATTCATTGTGTTCAGTGCTAGTCCTGAAATTTGGAAGAAAATGGCAGAAATGCCATCATGGAAAATGAGCCTAGCTAGTGCCAATTAGCTTGTCTTCTGTGTTATGACGCAGGACAAGGGGCATCTCTAGGAGAGGACTTGATAACACAAAAACAACAGCAAAAAACAATTACAAACTTTTTTTTTTTAACCAGTTCTCATGGTACAATACCGCATCTCCTAAATCAAAGGTGTAGTATATTGTGTGTTGAAAGAAAACTCATTTTTGTTCAACTTCAGTGGCTTGTAAAGTTCAGCACTGCCCAATGTTGTCAGGAATTTACTTAGATCCAATTCAATTAGATTGGCTATTATTATAGATGATATTCATGTTTAATGTTAACAGATTTAAAGGAAGTCAAGCCTGTTATTAGTCCGCTTCCTGTCTTCCTCTTCCCAATTTAGTATTTTTTTTATCCAAGATACAGATTAAAGCAGCTTTAACACCTTTTGCTTGGATGCAGAGTGCAGCAACGATGCCAGACACAAATTGGGAAAATACACATAAATATTCTTTTCTATGTGGTACTGGAAAAGATCAAGAAGTAAATTAATTCACTGCAAGATACAGAGGTGTCTGCTGGGTTTGGAGAGCTGTTGGTCTGGCCTAGACTGACAGTTCATAATTCTTCACTGATCAAATATGCAGGATTTAATTGGAGTGTGGGTTGAGGGTTTAGTTTTATTGGCCCTGGTTCTGCCACTTGAACCTTATCTTACTGATTGACTCTTTCTGGCCACTTGAATAAAAGTGTTCCTCAGCATGAAGCAAGAATCTGACACAACCTAAGTTTAATACTGTCTTTGAATTTCTTTAAATAGTGTATTGTGAAAAAGATCTAGAGACATGCTATATACAAATAAGGGGTACTATTTTCTTGGACTAAATACTTACTTTATGTGAGTGTACTTCATCTAGGACACATCTTATAATTACATTTCATAAATAGAATATTACTTAATATAACAAACTTTGAAGCATTATAGGATAATTGAAATGTGTGGGTTTTTTTCTGATAGAAAAAATGGGCTATGTGGTTTGTCAGTAAATACTGAGGGGTGTGTGATGTACGGATTACCGATCATTGGTTCAGTTGGAGATTGGGTGATTGATTTATTTTGTGTATAATTTTAAAGGTTAATGTGTATGTAGATTTGTGATCAAATAATTCAGGCCATCTGATTTGTATTAATGCTTTCCTGTCTCCCTACAAAAAGTGGTATTTATAAGCAGTATAAATCACTGTGCAATGACTTCTTAAATGATCTGGTTTCAGTTTTAAATTGGTGCCTGTATATACAAGGACATTTCCTAAACAAAAATAAAAGAATGGAACTATGGGGTTTTGCCCTGGCATTAATCGTTTACAAAGGGAATTATTTGAAAACACTGTATTCATTGCTATAAAAAATACGATGTGAAGATCATGCTCCTGAGACAGCTTTATATTCCTAGTATGCAAAACCAGAAAATATTTAAAATACTTAAATAGGAGAAGAACCAAAACAAACACAAATAAACCTACCTCAGTAACATCACTTACCCTGAAACACAGAATTGTATTTTCAACTAAGCTGTTAAATTATGCCTGCAATGTTCATAAATGTTCATGCAAAGGATTGTACTTTCTCTGCAGAGAAAAGCAACCTACTTCTTTAGACCTTTTCTCTACTTACCTCCTTTGTTTGCTGCCATAGCTGTAGTGTCCTTTCTTCAAGTGAAATGATGCGTGCATTACTTGGAGATAATGCTAGATAAATTTATACTGTACTGAAAGCAATACCACAACAGATTCATCACTTAGCAGAGACTGGTGGCTGCATTTCTGAAGAGTTCCCCAGGGAGACATTTTTCCCCGTGGTTTTTAAATTACCATCTTTACCTTTTTGAATCATGAGTCTTCAGAAACGGTTTAAATCAATGAAAGAAAAAGGGCAGATGTTTAATGGTATTTAGATGAGTTTTAAAAATCTCTTCAGGCATTGCAAAATGGTTCCACAGCTCCCTGTTTCGAAAGCTGACTCTTCTTCCACTCCATTACTACCTACTGCCTGCAAATAGTGTGTATTCCTCAGATAATGATTATTTTGCAAAAATTCTGTTTAAAAATGACTCGCTTTAATTTGCTTCTTAAGAAAATAATTTCTGTTGAGAAGGCTGTCAAAGTATATTATTCTGGCTTGTTCGGTTTCCACCCATACAATAAAGATTTCACCAATACTTCTTGTATAAAAACCCCACGTTCACAAAACTATGACTTTTGCCAGGGCAATCCACTCCAGTTTTGAGTTTAGCCTATATCATTTTAGCTTAGGCTCGGGTTTTTTTAAGATCTGTTTGTTCTCAGCGGAGATATTTTTCACTGTTTATTGACTTCATATTCATATTCAGAATTTTTGGAATGTTTTTATTTTCTCTAACACTTTAAAGATCTGTTTGCTTTTTGAAGTGACATTTTCATTACTTTTGATTCTTATACTTTACAAACATTGTGTTTTGTGTAGTGATTACAAATCAGAGTCCTTAAATCTTTAGCTGTTCCAACAGAAAATTATCTGTATGGTTAATGATTACAGTAAGTGTTGTGCAGAATTTCCCTTGTAATAGTTACTTATTATCATATAGAAAAATCCACTTCAGATATTCTGTTTGAATATTCAATTATTTGTCGTATTCATAAGTTCAGTTAATGGTCCTGAGACAAAAATGCACCTCACAAATATCAGCTGATGTTATCTCTGATCCCAGCACATGATTATGATAAAATACGCATCTTTGGCTATGTGGAGTATATAAGTAACTATGCATGTGATTAAAGTAATATTAACCTTCCCAGGGTCTTTCGGCTACCAGCTGTCCTGTGAAGTTTTTATTACCCAAATGAATTCCTTAGTTACTGGGCCCCTGCAGACCAAGACAGGCTTAGGAGCTCTGCAGGATAGGTTGACCCTGGGCAGGGACAACGAGGTCAAGTTGTAGACTCCCAAAAATCTTAATTTCCCAGAGAAGTCATCTGTATTAGTGACTATATAAATGTTAAGCTTCCAAGAAAATGGCTTTTAGCTTATTCTGTTAGGCATATCAGCATTTCTGTGTAGAAGATGCAAAGCAGTTGGAGTCCATCTCTGTCTAAACAAGAAGCTTTTTGTTTTAACTGTGAAAGAGCCCAACAAGGATGGGGCCTGTTATTAACCCCTTGGGCTGAGATCCTCAGGAGTTTTATCAGATTAGTGCTGTCTTTCCCTTAATGCTCAGATCACACATGGATCTCAGAATTCCCACATCTCAGCAATGATAACAGTATCGCTCTTCATTGCTTCATGGCTGCTTGAATTCTTCAGTGGAAGACTACATAGGCATTGAATAGGAGGTCTTCATTTTCCTTGTGGGATTTTTTTAATATATGCTTGGAGATGCCGCAGAAGTTATTTGCCAAGCACTACAGATAGGACAGCATGTTCATTAAGTACTTCAGAAAAGTGTCACTTATCAAGTTTTCTGTGCTTCATTTAGTTTTCTGTTTGCTGTAGTTTAAAATGAAGTTTCTAATCTTTGTTTCCAGAAATAGCTCAGCTAGCTAACTGTGACAGTGGGACAGCAGAAAGTCTTGAAGTGGATGAATCAATAAATGTAAGTTTTCCTGTTATGTTGCTGCTTTTGCTGAACCTGAGCACAGAAAAATAATTGTGTTCCCCCTGGCCCCACCCCATTATATTTTCTCCTGGTATGTGTAAACAGATTGAATAGAACAGTGGTTAGTCATCAGACTAACGCCATGGTGCTCAGCAGACAGAATGCTCACAAAAACATTAGAGCAAAACTTTCAACCTATTTTCTTAGATGTTGCAGTATCCTTAGCTTCCACGAAGTTAGTGTTCACCATGTGGCAATTGTTTTACCACAAAACCCACCACTGCTTCCTTTATTTCAGTTTAATGAATGTATTTATTTTTCTTTTAGAAGGACTTTTAAACAGTTTCATAAAAAATAATGTATTTTAAACAGATTTTAAAACAGTCCATTTACAGAGGCAGCTAGTGATCAGACTCTGAACAGATCCAGTGAAGAGCCAAGGAAGAAATGAGCAAGTTAGCAAATAGCCTGGATTCAGAAAGTTGGCTCACAACCTGGAAGATTGTGTCGTCTTCTTCTGAATCTGTGCTCAGAAATACTTGCCTACAATAATGGGTATCTTACAGTAATATTTTGTCAGATGCTTGTTCAGGTTGGCAGAAGAAAAATGAGTTGGAGGAGTTGGTTGGGTTGAATATTGTGGGCTTAAATGCTCTCAATTTAAATTCTTATTTTTAACAGTTGGTTCTCACACCTTGGATTTTAGTCAACAGAGTAGATGGAGTTCTAACAATTTAGTGTCAGTTTTCAGTGCAAGTGGATATAAAAAGCAAGCACAATTTTGGAGGATGCATAGGTAGTTCAGCGGTACTTCACAAGTGCTTAAACATGTTAGCAGAGCTTAAAATACAGGCATGGGTTATCTGTTAATCTGCTTCTGATATGTTACAGAAAAGACATCATCTTCTAGTACATGTTTTATTATCTTGAGATAATTTCTGACTTTCTGGCAAAGTGTCACCTATAAAGGCTTCCAGAGTTGTGACATGAAGGGTGTTTCTTATTCTGCTGCTTTTGTTCATTTGCATTTAAAATACTGTATTAGACCCGAGCAATATTTAGTGAAGGGCACTTACAACAGAAAGAATAACTAGAAGACTTAAAGCAAGTGCTGAAGTGCTTAGGAGAATCTAGGGTGCAAACCGGCTTAGCAATAGCTAAGAAACTGCAATTGTAAAGTTATTTGTGTTGTGCAAATGTTGAGGAAATACAGGAAGGATAATGTAGTGTAATAAAGGAACCTAAGCAGGGGAGATGACGAAATTAAATCAGTAAAATTTGGAAATACTTTCTCAAAGCGCAGCTGTGGAATAAACACACATGGGAAGTGACAGGAAGTATAACTTAAAAGTAACGTACAGGACCATTCAAAATCATAATAAATATGCAATTAGGAAGAATCCTGTACTGGCAGGCAAGTGGGCTAAACAACTTAAATTGTCTCTCTCTGTTCCTGTGTAGTTCATTAACATATTCACTAATCTTATTACACTGTATTTTCTTGGGCAAGCTTTTAATTAAAAAGGTTCCAACCAGGTCTAGTTTCAAACTTAACTATTACCCAGCTGTCTGGATAAGGATCATAGAACTTGGAGATTTGAAAAACGTCTTGAAAAGGATCTTGTGGGCTTGGAATACTGAATTTGGAGTCCCATGCCCTCATCATTCCACATACACCTCATTTCTAATTCACACTTACATCTTCAAAATTAACTGAAAAATAAAGGTAGAAAAAAGGTTGTGCAGTACTTGGGACAACTCAATTTTGAAAACATTCTGGCATACAAGTAGGTGCAAGTGACCTGTGTAATGGTAGAATTACTGTATTTTTATCTTCCATATTTTTCTCTCTCATTTTTTGTCTCTTTTCACAGTCTGTGCTAAGTTATATCACATTCTATCCTAAAGTTAGTTCAAAATGTGCAAAAGTTTATTTGAATGACGAGAACTCATCTACATTTTGTTACTACCAGAATCAGATTTACTAAAATGGGAAGACAGTGGCCACCGAGTGCCTGGTGGGATTCATGGAAGTCTGTAACTCCAGATGGGAATTCCCAGCAACTCCTTTACCAGAAGCCTTCGTGCCTCTCTGCTATAGATAAGCAGACAGATAGCTGCGGTGTAACGGGTACCTTTTTGATGAAAAAGCAGCTTTTCTGCAGGAGCCCTCTTGGTCCCTGTCTGTGCTCTGTGGCTGTGTGGCTAACTGGCCAGAGCTTTTAGCTGGTTCATCAGGGTGTGACAGCCCCGTGATAGTTGTTTTTTTTGTTTGTTTTTTTAATTTTTCCCTGATTTTGAAAAAAACACTGTATTAACTTTATTCTTTCTCCTCTTTTACATTGAAGAGCTGTAATACCTCACTGAAGCTGCAGAGGAAACCTCGGGAAAGTGATTTTGAAACAATTAAACTGATTAGTAATGGAGCTTATGGGGGAGTAATCCATGAGTGCCACCGCTCTTTTGCATTTTATTTTTGCTTAACTTCCCGTTATTTCTTATTGCAGGGATGTTTATATGAAGGAGTTTGTTTGCACTGCTACTTTGTGCATTCTGCTTTTCTTTTTCGTTGCTAATATTTGAAGTTCACAATAAAAACTTTTTGGAAAGCCTGCTAGGCAGGCTGCAGGCAGTAAGCTAGACAATATTGAATTACTGTGTGCTGCAGTACATTAAAATACTAAATATTACATCACAAAGATTTTTTCAGGTAGGTATCATGTAATGCCAAAGATGAAATATGAATAAATCAAAAGGCAGATTTAAAGCCACCTTTATAATACTGAAAGCAGCCTGTGTTTATGCAGGTGTGAAACAGAATAAAACTGAATCTGTAGGGAGACAGGTTGTTAAAAATGAGTGCTTACTTGACCTAAAAATACTGAAGTAGAAACAAATTTCCTTAAGTGGGGCAGCACTGTTTTCTTGCTTCTCCATGGACACTCTTCTGTCCTCAAATTTTAACTGATTAGCTTTTAAGGAATTGCTGTTACTTGGTTAGTTTCTGGGTGCTTGGAAAGTGCAGAGCTTACTGCCCAGTGGTATGTAAGTCATCTGGAGATATCCTAGAGATATCTAGGACCAAGAGAAAATTATGTTAGCCTGGACCTTAAATGAATACAGCATGTTTTCTGGAAGTCCCATACAGGGATTCTGTCTATCAGCAGGCAGAAGTCTGTCTTCAGTTACCTTTTCTCATCAGATACTGTCTATTAGACCCTTGATTGGCTCCTCCTCTGCACTGAAATGTATCAAGGCAGGAACTGCTGGTCTATGTAACCTGCAGGACCAGGAGGGATGTATTGGTTCAAAGAAGAGGGATTTGTGTCTTGGCATGAGGACCCCATTGCCAAATGAGACTGTGTCACAGCCAAACAGTGGAGTGGGCTGTTACTCTCCAGCACACGCCCCATTAGACTGGCTGTACTCTGTGCTACCTCTGCTTGAGGTAGGAAGGAGCAGCAACCCGATAGTACTGAGCACTCTTTGAAGAGACCCTGGACATAGAAGAGAAAGCACCTGCAATCTACCCATTGGAGTTCTGAAGAGACCTTGAACATAGAAGAGAAAGCACCTGCAATCTACCCACTGGAGTTTTTCATGGCATTTTAATTGCCTGAGGCTGATGGGCACAATAATACTCGGTGATCACATTTAGTTACAGGTAACCCTGAGCTCTGGGACAGGAGGCATTTAGAACTGCCCAGTATTGTTGGTTGTGATAGCTTGTGTGGAGCCTATTGTGTCCAGACCTGCTTACATACCTCAGCAAAAAGCCTGAAGGAAATAGCATCATTTGCATTAAAGTTATATAAATATTCAAATACAACTTCTCACTAGTTAACCTCTGCACAACTCATTGTCTCAGAATTTCTCTGTAGGCAAACTCATTACTTACCGTATGCCAGTTTCTCCTGATTACCCCAGGACTTCAAAAGCCTTTCTTTCAGCAGTTTGCAGTAGCTGCTGCTCCTCTCCCTGGCTGCATCCCTTTTTCCTTCCCTTGGCCGATGCTTAGTTGCCTTCATTTCTCCTTTCATCTCCTACTCAATTTCCTCTTTGTCTTACTGGAGGAGGAGAAGAAGAACCATGTGGGCTGGGTCCGCATTGGAGAAAAGGGTGTTGTGAGTCACTGGGCCTGCCCAGCTTCCCAGCAGTTTCAGGATGCTGACGAACGGGAAGAAGAGGGAGCAGCTGCAGAAGGGCATGCTGCAACCAGCAGCTTGAGGCCGGCCACCTAAAGTCAGAGGTTCCGTAGTCTTGGTGGCTCTTGCTCCATAGGTGTTACAGTCAGAAGGAGCCTTGATAAGCCATTAAGAAATACAGACTGGAGAGAACTGTCCATTTGAAACCAGAGACAAGTAAGGATCGGAAGGATGGGAAAAGGAAGGATGAAAAGCCGTGGCTTTCTATAGGTTATATGATGTACACATGTAGGGTTGGGGTTTTTTCCCCTTATGTTTGTGGCAGGGAAAATCAATACTTATGAAACACCTTTTAAATGCTCATAATATGTGAAATTGGCAATAGAAATGTCATAAAAATTGGATGAGACTCTAATAATTGTGAGGAAAAGGAGAAGTGATAGAGGGTGAACAGCTTGGAGTGTATCTGGATTCTGTATGAATCATTATTGTCTTTAGCAAATGTTAAAACCGGGGTAGGTTGATGGGTTATGCTGTGGTAGTATTAGAAGTGGAAATAGAAAATCTCTTCACTTTTAGTAGAGTTCTATTATTTCCATCCTTAAGCAAACAACAACAAAGTAGGTTTTGTTGGTTTGGATTTTTGTTTTAAATGGTTACTTCTTAGAAGAAAAATCAAGAATAAGAAAGAAAACAAAGGTACAGCCCCATACTAGTTAATGTAGAGGGAAAGAAACACACTCAGTGAACACTGAGACAATACATCTTTAAAAGTGTTTACTCACTTTTCAAAAAGTGATTTTAGCACTTAGTCACTTCTCCCCAACTACTGTAAGTTGATGAGGCTTATGCACCTAAATTCTCTAGGATATCACTTCTTCAAAACTCTCTGTGTGCTTGAAGATCTCCACTGTGGTGTGTCAGATAAGTGGTACTGTAATATCAACAGACCATTATTAGATCTTTAAGGTTTTTTTTCTGTTGGCACCAGTATGATTGGTGGTTAATTTACTCGAAAGTTACGGTCGAGTTTGAAGGGGAGCACGTCACAATAACCTAAATGCTCTTTAACCCATCTACAAAATGTAGTGTAATAAAGCAATAATACCTGTTCCATCTGTGAATAGAAAGCAATAAACTGCCCCATAGGCATTTATTGCAGTTTATTTACAAGTATAAGCAGCTGAAATAAAAGTTATTGTTGTTATGCTACAAGGATTATTTTCTTTCCCTTCCATGTTTTTCCAGGCCATTAATTTTTTGAAATAACCTAAGTATGTGTGAAATCTGCCTGTGCTTCATTGATTTATTCTCAAAAATACGTCAGTGGGCATATTTTATGCTCTGACTTATTAAAGATTCAGTATGCTATTGTATTAGTTATTTTGAGGCTATAATGAAGGGTTTAATTCTGAACCAATTTTTAAAAAAACATATATTTTGCTGTCTTTGATTTTGCTGTAGTGTTTTTGCCTTCATTAGTGAAATGGAAAGCTTTGACTGCTTGACAGGGTAATTGTTGGTCTTGGCATGCTGTAGCAGAGATTTGTCAGATATGTTAAACTTGATGAGCTTAAATATAAACTATTGGTTTTGTGAAGGTCTGAGTAAATATCTTAGCAGTTTTCTGTTTTTAATTGATCGGGTAAACTCATTTGTAGTGCAATTAAATGACTGTATAGTAGATGAGGTGTATCAAGCTTTTGGGAATGGCTAGGAATATACAAGAAGTTAAACAATCTGTGAATCAGTAAAATGTAGGATGCTGGCCAAGTCATTAATGGATTTTCACCAGCTGTCTATCTGACTATTTTCAGCCAGACAAAACTTCCATACTTCCCAAATTTAACACTCTTACACTGCAATCATAGCACCATTTTTTTGATATTCCAGCTTGCAAGAGGTAGCAGGTGGAAGAAGTCCATGCCTTCAAAAGTTGGCATCAGCCTGGTTTCCTGAACCAGCTCAATAAAATAAAAATGACATTTGATTTCAGGGAAGTAAATGGTGTTACTTCAGTTGCTCTTTCACTAATGTAGAACTGTATGTGCTTAAAGCAAATACATGATACCACTTTTGCACCTGCCTGGAATGTTTTTACTTCTACAAAGATGGTAATGTCAATATGACGTAATACATGACATACTGGCTAACAGTGTTGCTTGATGAATTTAGGAACTCTGAGGCAGTGTTGGCTTCACCAGCTGCTGCCCCTAACCTGTGAGTACTCATTCCTGTTCCTTCTCCACTTGGTTGACAGTACTTGCTCCGATGTAGTTGTATTGGGAACGGGAAGAATGAGAAAGTTACCCAGCTGCAGAATAACTGTCAATCAGGTTAATTCATCATCAACCTGGCAGCTAACAGTTCAGAGTTGAAGGGGATAGAGGGAAGTGTGGCTTTATAGGTTCACTTAAGTAGCACCACCTCTGAACGCACTACAGGTCTAATAAGCTGTATTCCTTTCCTTCTTTTCTGTTTACCCCTGTGAGTGACTGGACTATGCAGAGTAAGAGGCTTTGACTCCTAGAAGCCCATAGCTTTAAAGAGCATTTTAGAAAGGTTTAGAGTTTTTTACCCAGCTCAGAGGCTGGGAGTTTCTATGCTAGGGATCTTACATTCATCCTTCATTGTGGATCTGCTCAAAATTATGAACTTTGAACCCATGCACTTTATTACCCTTGAGTCTGCCTCCCTTCCCAGTACAGCAGAGCCCAAGTGCCTTATCTTTCTTCTGTAGCTGATACATGTGTGAGGATCTAATATTGGCAGCTAATGCAATGCTCTCAGTGGTAGAGCAAGATTGTTAACCGTGTTGAAAGTCTTAAATTTTATCCTTGCTGAATGTGCAGCATGCTACGAACTGGTGAGGAGCATAATTTCTCAAGTGTTTCTTTTGCAAACACAGCACAGTTTACCCATAGGAAATCCGATAGCAGCTTCATCATTTTGCATGTGTGTTTACTAGCCGCCATAAAGGCAGAAGACACTGCTACTGTTAGGTATGGAGACGTGGTTTTATTAGTCAAAATTTGTGACATATTGGAACAACCAGGGCTAATACCTGTTGCGAAAGAAGGATCACAGCCATTGTGTTCTCTTCAGATGGCAGCTTCTCATTTGCTTCTAGGTAGACTGGGATTAGTGTAAATATTGCTGAGAGGAGGCTGTGTGCATTGTCCCAGGGCTTGGAAGACCCACACCACACTGGGTGCTCATGTTAGGAGTGCTGGAGTGCTTTAGGCAGCATTTCCCCCTGCCCCCAAATAAATCTGATCTGGTCATGGGCATTGCCTCGTGAGGAGGTGGTGCAGTGCTGCTTGTAAATTCTGATCTTAAATACCTATCCCTAAACTTCACCGTATTGCCCTAACATGAATCACAGTCTCACAGGTGGCTCCTCTTCACTGGAGGCAACATCAGACATAATTCCAGGGTATTTAGCAGTCTCTTCTCAGGATATTGCTCATGAAAATGAAACGGCTCCTTGTGAGCAACTGTAACTTTTAAGCAGCAAGCACAGTACCTGTGTTTCCACAAGGAGTTCAACATCCTTTAACAAAGTAGAGCATTGAGTCAAAGCAAGTGACACAGCTACATTAGCTTCAAGCACTGAATGTAGGCTAGGTTGTAAAATGGCTCCAAAAATTGAAGTTACTGAAGAGATGTAAACAAGGCCTGAAGCCTGTAAGTAATTTAGAGGAAAAACAGGAATCTTGGTTCTAAGATTGGGGGGATAGATTGCATAATATTTAAGTTGGAGCAATTCAGGAATCCAGTTAAATGTTTTAGCATTTTTTCGGTCATCTTAACACGTTTGTGCAGTGTTTTATATTTGTGCCTAGCTAACGGTATTTTAGAGATACTTTTTCAAGCTGAGATCTATGTTGGAAGTGGAATAATGTAATGTTTGGACAATGCCAAAGTTTAGGAATTTTCTTATTTCTCTTGAAAAGTAAACTTTTCTTGCAATGTTGAAATACAGCATCAATAAAATACAGAGCACTTGTGTACCTGTTGAGATCCATACAGCAAAATCAGAGGGTGTTTTGGAAATCTTTTGTTGCCATGTTACGAAACAGAAAGGGCAGAGGTAGGAAAGCAAATTCTTCATTTGAAACCATAGGGGGTTGCAACAACGCCACTTTGATTGTGGCTTTGCAGGCAGACAGGGCATACCACTGTCATTGAATGGATCAACAGAGCAATTGGATGGTCTGGATGTTCTTAATACATTGCTTTTGTGTCAAAGGAATCCTCAAATTTACGTTCGTATTTCTAATATACTGAAAATCATGAGCAGCATTTAATGATCAAGGCCAAGAAACCAGGAGGAATTGTGCTCTCTCTTAAAAGGACATACAAAACAAAGAGAAATCTCTTTCTAGTGCTCCAGCTGTAGCATTCTGGAGAGTAAAGAATAGAGATAGATGTGGGAAGGGGGGGAGGGTGCCAGGTTTAGGAGAATGTAGCAAGTTGATAGCTTCAAGGAGAGTGAACAGAAACTAGAAGGCCATCACAGTCTACGCAATAAGTTGTTGTAGAATAGCAGCAGCATACTTCAAGGGAGGCAAATCAGGGTTCAGAATTAGCCTAGACAAAGTCGGTATGTGCTAGAACTCATTGTGGCTTTTCCCATCATTTTACTTCCAAGTTTGCAGTTATGTTTCAGCAGATGTTGTCCAAGGTTTCCATTTAGATTAAGTTGAAGCCCCACTTAGTGCAAGAAACATGGAAGAATTCCTGTTTCTTTTTTTTCTTCTTTTTTTTTTTTAATTGTCAAGGCAATTTATGCATCTTTATTTTACTGTTAGTCTTTGGCTTTTTGTTTTTTTTTTTTGTTTTTTTGTTTTTTTTTTTTCATTTTTATTTACTTACCATTTTATTGATGTTTCAGCAAATTGTAATACACTCTTTTCAACTGTGGGAGCTGAGAACACCAGTGTCACAGGCCAGTTGCAATTGTTGCAGTGTGCTTAGTTTACTGTATCGGTAGGCTGAGGAAATGGCATCACTGCTGTGAACTGAGAGCATTCTGAGGAAGAAATGAGGTCTTCTACAGGAGTAACATGCTGCTGGCTAGAACCTAGTTTTCTTTGTAAAACAGAAATGCTGTTTTCTGGGGTTACTGTGATCAGAGGATGTGAATAAGTGATGTTAGACATTTTAAAATGTTGAAGATCATTTAAAAGCACTTTATATGGCATGAACAGTGTATACATGTGTAAACATGAGAGAGACAATTGCATTGCAGTTGTCTCGTGAGTCCGCTACACTTGAACTAAACAGTTTTCTTCTGAGAAATTGTAGGTAACTGAATCCTAGTGGAAAGTTATACAATTACCTGCCTGTGACTGTAAGACTGGAGAGCTTGGGGAAACATAGCCAGCATGTCCCAGATATTTACAGAACTTACTGGTTCTTGATCTTTAATTATGGTAGTAATGACCCTACAGTTCCACATGCTTTACAGAGGGGATTTATTAAGATGTTGTAATAATATGCTCTGGTTAATCTCTGTATTTCAAGAGTTCATCTTGGCATGCTGTCCAAATTAAAGCTCTGAGAAGGATCTGCATGCTGAGTCCTCAGGCAGTCCTCAGTTTATTCATATGACTTTGGGGGTTTTTGAAGGATTGTGGCTTCGGCACCTGAAGGGCTCACTTTTCTACATGCCAGGAGTGCACAAGGGGACTGGAATGGGGAAAAGATGACATTACAGGAGATTAAGAAGCCAAGACAGACTGACAGGAGATAGCAACAAAAGAGAGAGGAAAACCAGAACAGAAGGCAAGGAAAAGAGTTATAATGAAGGGGTGGAGAGAGAAGTGAGCATGAGGAGAGCTGTAGGAAGAGGTGCAGGAGGACAAAAGGCATGAAGCCAGCAGGGAGGAGTGCTGCAGCTGAACAACTTAGTCTTTATTCCAGCTTGGGAGAGGCAGAAGTGAGACTTAGTAGGAGGCACAAAGGGTGAGGTTTTCTTGTGTTTTGCCCAAGGTGGTTTTCCCCCACTTTCATAATGGTGTAATGTCTTTTACCTGCCCTGCTCTCAGACAAGAACAAGGGACTTGTGAAAGCTTTTGGAATCAGTTCGAGAAATGTTCTTGTCTGGAAAAAGTTTTCCTCCACAAAAGAAACCAGAAACATGATTTTTTTCAGTGCCTGTAATTTTGGTAGCTGTGGGAAGATCTTCATAGAAATAGTAAGGCAAGAATTGCTTTTTGTGTTTCAATAAATAATTGTATGGTGATAATTAGACCTCATGGGGACAACAAATTGAATTTAAAACCTACATAATTGAATCCCATTTATTTCCTCCCCTCCCCCCATTTTCTCCTTTTAGTCCTTTCTTTTCATAAACAATCACTACTGTGGTAATTATATACTGGAGATGCTATAAGCATTAAATGTTACAAAGCAGATTTCAAGCAAGGCAAACACTTTCAGGATTTGCCTCAAGGGAGTTTGAGAAATGCAGCAGTAATGTCCTCTGTCAGTGTTTCACAGCAGGCTGGTTCCTTCTCCTGAGCCTTGACGAGAAAGAGGCTTGTCCATGTAGGTTTTCTTTCACTTTGCTTCCCTCACTGCCTTGACCTTCTCTAACCAAGCTTACAGGAAACTTTGTACCCAGTACCTCAGTGGAAATTCTGCATGTCAGGATACACCTTAATCCCACTTTACCATGTGGTTAACGCAGCGATCTTTGGTTCGGATTACCTACTGGTGACCTGCCCCTGATATGGATCAATGCTGATGTCAGGGACTGAACAAGAACAGAAGATTCTGCACCTGGCAATGAGGGAGCCACCCCATCGAGCAACTTCTGAGCAACCTTCATGAGAAACCAGTGACATGTTTTAAAATCCCCTGGACAGAGTCTAAGTCATAACTATCTGACAGCACACTTACAGCATAAGCATGTGTCAGAATGATTTATAACACTGTGCCATAGCTTGGTTTTGTATATAATCTTTTGATGATGGAAACGCCCAAAATCTACCTGAGCTGAGAGCATTTGCTGTATTGGGGGAGAGGGGTGTGTATGTGCTACTATATCTTTTGTTTGCTTTGGGGCGTGGGGAGTTCTTTGGTTTTAGTTTCTGTACTAATTTGTGTTAGAGATGTGACTGAGATTCATCCTGGTTATGAAACAAAATGAAGTTTGTAGGCATTCTGTAATGTGAAAGGCAGGTCAACTACATTAAACTAAACCCAGGCCTTTTATATAATACATACACAGTTTTTTAAAGATACATTTATTTATTTGTAAAAAAAGTATTTTAAATTTTTTTTTAATAGTTATGCAGACTTTTTTCTTTTTCTCTCCCGTTTGACCTTCTTCAGTGCGGTTTATTTTGTGAGACACAAAGAAACCAGACAAAGATTTGCCATGAAGAAAATTAATAAGCAGAATCTTATCCTCCGAAACCAGATACAACAGGCCTTTGTCGAGCGTGATATCCTGACATTTGCAGAAAATCCATTTGTTGTGAGCATGTATTGCTCCTTTGAAACAAGACGTCATTTATGCATGGTCATGGAATATGTAGAAGGTAAAATGTTTGTTCTGTTTTACAGAGCAAGAAGAGACTTTTCTTATACCAAGAAAGAAAAATAACCCGTATGGTACTTGCATTAGAAAGGCCCCTGTGATAACAGAATACAGATTTAGGATCTAAATCCAACAACAAGATGGCTTTTTTCCCAGTCATTATCTCTCTGTAAGAGCTTGTAAAACACTTGTGCTCCAGCTGTAATGGGAAGTAACTGCTCTTTGCATAAGTTCCTCATAGACTGTAATCGTAAGTGTCCTAGCATTCAAAGTTCATGTGGAAATGCTGTTTGCTTTTCTGGAGCTCCATTTTTCATTAGTATGTGTTAGGGTATTCGTAATAGTTATTTTTATGAAGAAAGAGAGAAGAGGAAGTGATTTGAAAAGGTGCTGATACTGAAGGAGAACACTGGACACAGGCAGTGCAAGATGAGAAACCCAGGCCATAATTCTATGGGCTTTTTTTTTTGTGAGTAGTCTCCCCCCAC